GGACTTTACAAAGGAACAATGGGACTTCATATCCTTTGCGTTGAAGTCTTGTTCCACCCTAAAATTTTGAGTGCGGATGCTCAACACATTATTAAAGATCAGTAACTTACATAGGCTAAGGGAACAAAAAGGAAATTAATCTGGAAATTAAAAATATTACCCAAGCATTGACAAGCGCATAGTACAGAGGAATTTTACAGCTTGGGTGCAACATCTCTGTCACAAGAGCAGCAGGATAGGATATCTGGTCCTGGTGTGCATCCAATAGATAGAAGCATACAGTTTAATAGCATGGAAATAGGCCCTTTGGCCCATTGTGTTCATGCAGATCATCAAACATCTAGCTATTTCAATCCCATTTTCCAGCTCCTGGCACTGTAGCCTTATTTGCTATGACATTTCAAGTTCTCATCTGAATATTTCTGGAATGATTTAACCATTCTCAGTTCTACAACCCTTTCAGGTGGCGTATTCCAGATACCCACAGGTTTTTGGTTAAAAAGAAATTTCAAATTCCCTCTCACCCTTCTATGGTTCACCTTAAAACTGTGCCCCTTTGTCATAGAGTGATAGAGTAATACAGCACAGAAACCAGACCTTCAGCCCAAACTGACCAATGCTGACCATGGTGCCCACTCAGCCAGCCCCAATTGCCCGCATTTGGCCCATATCCCTCTAAACCCTTCCCATCCATGTACCTATTCAAATGCTTTTTTTTTTCGTTATTGACCCCACTGTTGAGAGGAAACATTTCTTCCTATCTACTGTGTCTATATCCTTGGGAACTTTGTATACCTCAATCAGAACCCCTTTCAGCCTTCCCTGCTCTGAGGAAAACAACATCAGCCTATCTAATCTCTCTTCATAGCTGAATCTCTCCAGCCCAGGCATTGTCCAGGTGTCTCTCCTCTGCACCCTCTCTAATGTAGTCATATCTTTCCTGTTGTGTAGTGACCAGAATGCACACAACTCCAGCTGTTGCATAACTGACATTATATTCAGCTTCATCATAACTTCTTTGTTCTTGTATTCCATGGCTTGATTCATAAAAGCAGCAATCCCATATGCCTTCTAAACTACATGGTCTGTGCTTCTACTGCCTTCAAGGATCTATGGATATGGACACCAAGATCCCTCTGATTCTTTGTACTTTGTAGGGCCCTACCACTCAACATGTTAGCCCTCCCAAAACACATCACCTCACATAGAACTGGATGAACACAGCAGGCCAAGCAGCATTAGAGGAGCAGGAAAGCTGACGTTTCGGGTCTAGACCCTTCTTCAGAACAAACTGCTTCTCTCTTCAAGTCTGCTGCGGCAGAGTCACTCACCAACCTGGGTATATTGAAGGCACAGGGTTCAGTCAGATTTCTCATCTGGTCAAGTCAGTCCTTCAGGCAAAAGCAACCATCTGTGATGCACTATCGGTGACATCAAAGTTCAATGTTGCCTGCAGCTCTTATGCCAGAGAGTTGGTGCATCACAGAAGGTATGCTGTCTTCTATACAATGTAGCCAGCTCCCCTATTTGCCGATAGGCCAACCAACCTGCAGTTCAACAGCAGGAGAGACAGCTGTGGTTTTTATAACACTCATGACCTCTCTCATCTTTAAGACATAACCAAAAAACAGGGGATTTTATTACATTAATGGGCAAATGACACTTGAACCCATTTCTACTAACATTGGCTGTAGTTCATGTGATAGAAATTGCTGCTACAAACAGTTTGCTTTTAACAATTATTATTCTTAGGATATGAACATTGCTCAAAAGATCAGCATTTGTTGCCCATGAGTATTTGGTTGCCTAACAGGAAGCAAAAGTGGGGATAAATGAGTGCTATTCTAGCTGGCAGTCAGTGACTGGTGGTGTGCCTCAGGGTTCGGTGTTGGGACCGCAATTATTTACAATTTATATAGATGATTTGGAGTTGGGGACCACGTGTAGGGTGTCAAAGTTTGCAGATGACACTAAGATGAGTGGCAGAGCAAAGTGTGCAGAGGGCTGTGAAACTTTGCAGAGGAACATAGATACATTGAGTGAGTGGGCAAAGGTCTGGCAGATGGAATACAATATAAATAAATGTGAAGTCATGCATTTTGGTAGGAGTAATAGTAAAAAGGATTATTACTTGAATGGTAAAAAGTTGCAGCATGCTGCTATGCAGAGGGACCTGGGTGTCCTTGTGCATGAATCACAGAAGGTAGGTCTGCAGGTACAACAAGCAATTAGGAAGGCAATTGGAATTTTGTCCTTCATTGCTAAAGGGATTGAGATTAAAAACAGAGAGGTTATGTTGCAGCTGTACAAGGTGCTGGTGGGGCCACACCTGGAGTACTGTGTGCAGTTTTGCTCTCCTTACTTAAGAAAGGATGTACTGGCACTGGAGGGGGTGCAAAGGAGGTTCACTAGGTTGATTCCGGAGTTGAGGAGGTTGGTTTATGAGGAGAGACTGAGTAGATTGGGATTATATTCATTGGAATTCAGAAGATTGAGGGGGGATCTTATAGAAACATATAAAATTATGAAGGGAATAGATAAGATATAAGTAGAGAGGATGTTTCCACTGGCAAGTGAAGCTAGGACAAGAGGGCATAGCCTCAAGATTAGCGGGATCAGATTTAGGACTGAATTGAGCAGGAACTTCTTCACCCAGAGGGTTGTTAATCTATGGAATTCCTTGCCCAGTGAAGTAGTTGACGCTACTTCAGTAAACGTTTTTAAAGATAAGGTAGATTTTTTTCTGAACAATAAAGGAATTAATGGATACGGTGAGAACACGGATAAGTGGATCTGAGTCCACGAAAAGATCAGCCATGATCTTATTGAACGGCGGAGCAGGCTCGAAGTGCCGGACGGCCTAGTCCTGCTCCTAGTTCTTATCTTCTTATGTTCTTATATTTGCTCTTTAAACAGTCATGGTGGGCCTTGTTCTTTAACCACTATGCTCTCAGCAGTGAAGATGTCAGGTAGGAAATTCAAGGATTTTGACCCGTAAAAAAAATTATGCTTTGCCTGTAGTTAGGATTGGAACTTGAATTACATTTTGCAAAATGCAGTCCAGTTGTTTAATGTTCTGCGGTGATATGTTCATGGAAAGACTAACATACAATCAAGTAGAACTGTTCTTCAGTGAAAAAGTGCTTCCTGATTTTAAGACCAAGTCACCTCATTTTGGACTCGACATTATGGAATTAGTTTTTCTGTATCAAACAATTTGATCTTTCTAATACTTTAAAGAGCACCCATCAGATGGCTTCTCAGTCCGCTACACTCAAGTCACATTTGTACAGCCCAGCCTTGTTGTTCAACCTCCATAAACACAGGAATCATTTTGGTGAATCTGTGTGACAAATTTCCAAGGTTAGTACATACTTCCTGAGGTCCAAAACTTAATGCAGTATCCCATGTATAGCCTAATTAAGACTTTACAACTTCCTCCTCTTTGTAATCCACACAGATTCAGATCATAGCCAACATTCCATTAGGCTTTTAAACTTCTTTTTATACCCTCTTTAAATTAATTCATGGTAGGAGAATGTTGCTGGCTACGCCAGTATTTATTGCTCCTCTTTAACTTGTTTTCAATTCATTCACTGGCGGGGCCAGCATTTACTGCCCATTCCTAGTTGCTCTTCAGAAAGTGCTCATCAGCTGCCATCTTTGACTGTTGGATGACATTAAGCGCGTTGTTGGAACTGAAATCATCCAGGCAAATGGGGAATATTCCACCACATTCCTGGCTTGTGCCTAAAAGTTGGCTGAAAGCTTTGTGGAGCTACGTGAATTACACACCACAGAATTCCCAGCCTCTTTCTACCATCTTTAAAAGATTCCTGCAGCTGAATCCACACGTACTCATGTTGACCGAGGTTGTTAAATCGGTTCAGCGGTATTAACATTGTGAAGCAATTTTCTGGTTGAGAAAGCAAATGATATTCCACATTGGGTGCAAAATTATGTTTATCATGTTTTCATCTTGTACAAGCCTCAGCTGGCAACGTTAAAACATTAAAAAGAATACACCATAAGCTCTGCACATAATTAAAGTATCATCGTGAGTAATTTGGAACATACTGTTTTAATGTTTCCCTCTTGTTCTGTGTGAGGTAGTAATGGATAAAACAGAATTTAATGAACTCATGAAAAAGATAATTATCAGGACAATGAAGATGAAAAATACATCAGCGTTGGCACTTCAGTAAATTTCTTGCCAATGTGCATTGATAGTTTTGGCAGCGATTGTGACAAATTGTCAATTCTTCTGCCATTTACTGAAACCTGGCTTCACAGGCAACCCAAATGAATGAACAAATGTAGAAGAATAGTAGTTACATAGGCAGGAGATGTATTCTTATATTTTTTGCAAGGACATGAGGCACTATTCATTGAATGTTGAATGCAGGTAGGAATGCCGAGTTTTGATTGATTTAATATTTATAAGTATTGAATCGAATAACAATGCAATAACCTTATAATTGTGATTCTTTTCAGAATCGGAGTCATTCAGCTCTGGAAGAACATCTTGCTTAGATCTTAATGAGTTGATTATAAGAAGAAGAGACTGAAAAACAAAAATACATATCTGAGAAGAAAAGTTGAGAAAATGGGATGACAACATGAACCACTTGAGGAGCTTGGCATCATTTGTGATGATATTGTGGTTGCTGCTGAAAGAGGTGTGAAACAGGAAAATCTCTCACTTTGCATTCAGTAACCCAGGTGAAAACATTGAGAACCCCACTGTTGCATACACTTTACCATTACTCATTTTGTCAGATACAAAAATGCTTGAACGCTTAAAATACTTGACTTCTGAATTGAATGCTCACAGAACAATGGATGAATTATCTTCTCATGTGTCCAACTGCTCGAGGTAGTCTTCCCTTTCACATGGGTGTTCCACAAAAGTAAACGACAGAGCATTTCATACCTTATTTATAGAAGAACTTCACGATTTGTCAGAATCGCTCCATTTTGTGTCTCTGCATTTCAATTGGTATAGTGTTCTCATGGCCAGATACATCAACAGCTCTCGTACCCTGAACCAGAATTTGACTACAGGGGAAATATTCAATGCCTCAGACCCAGAGGACATCGTTCATGCAAACATCTCAAAAAAGAACTGGCCAGCCTTGCTGATTCTCATCATCATTGTACTGACTGTGGGGGGCAATATATTAGTGATCATGGCAGTCGCACTGGAGAAAAAGCTACAGAATGCCACAAACTACTTCCTAATGTCACTAGCCGTTGCCGATATGCTGGTGGGAATTTTAGTTATGCCAGTTTCACTAATTACTATTCTCTACGGTAAGTTCTATTTGGGATTTTATGAACCTGGCAAAGGGTTTTGCAAAATATTCAACAGATTTCAATGCATTGATCAGTTCATTTTGAATTGTGAATGGGTTGAGGCCTGTAAGATCATTAATTTCCTTCTCCAACAACAGAAGTTCTCAATCAGATTCCAGTACTGTGCGCAAGAGGACAGTTCATCATATTGTAATTCTTCTCAGTAGTGAATGGATGTCACTACAGCAGTAATTGCATTGCTTGTGTATTTAAGATGACGCTTAATTATAATTTGATATTACACATGCAATTTAAAGAATACAGTATCCTAATTAGAGATCAAAAGGCATGAGATTGGAATAACTTTACTAACAAGCACTTGCAAATTTGGTAGTTATGTTTATTAGGCCACTGAATTCAGCTCCATAGTGCCTGGAGTTTTAGAGCCACAGGTGTTGTTTATACACCAAAATGGCATTTACGGCACATAATTTCACTTCTGGTGCAAACCATGTTTGGCAACATTTAGTAAGAGAACTACCATATGCTCAGGGGGTGTCCAGAGGAAGCATGCAGAGATACCAGACTGTGGCATTATTCAATACATAGCACCAGTTAAATGGTAGCACTATCACCCTGGATTTTAATATCCCAGCCAATACCATCTCTTAAACACTTACAGCAGAAGGAATGACCCCCATCAGCATTATTTAGAAGTTTATCAACTACTTATAATCTAATTGCTGATTGACTTTTCTGCTCTCTAAAAGGGTTTCAGAGCTACTTTCATGGAGTGATGTGGCACTTGCTGAAGGACTTAGTTCTGACTTCAAGGATTCTGCGCACGCGCACACACACACACACACACACACACACACACACACACACACACACACAGTCAAGTGTGGCTTTATTAGTGTGCATTCCATTTGACCGAGTGAATGAGCAGAGGTGGCACAGGGGAAAATAAGCTGAAGAAGAGGGCAAGGGGTGAGGAGTGGGAAAAGGACCCTCAGCAGGAGGCCACATCCACCTAGGATGTTCAGGAAGCCAATCTCCTCCCTTATATCCAGCAAGAAAGAACACCAACACTGAAATCTGCCAGGAACTCAAACCAGAGTGAGGGCAGCATTACTAGTGGCTGTTGTAGGCATGCATAACTGCCTTGAGCCCCTTCTAAGTGGGAGTTGGGGTTCTCCTGGTTCATCATCTACTATTGCAGAAGGGAAGTCAGTTCAGCTCTGCAATACAAGATAACTGAATGCTGTCTTGCCAAAGGTTAAAAAAACGCAGGTGGAGCAAGCATAAAATTTTGCAGGTTTCCCATTGGTGCAGGATGACATGGATTACAACAGTCCACTTTGTAGGTACTACCTATAAACATGCAACAACTAAAAGGCACCCATTTTCTCAATGTCTAGCTAGTATGGGAGCATAGGCAGAGTATCAGGCAGGCCAATGTTCACCAACCTGAGATCAGTAATGATGGCTTTATTCTGCTACTGTTTGCTGTGTCATTTGTGTGCATGTCTCACAATGAGGAATCAGAGAGTAGCTGCTCGGTGAAACAATTGGTGGTAGTTTAACCTGAGGGTCACCACACCTCAGGCAAGGGGATGAGGTTGAGAAGGAGAGTGCAGGAATTGAACCCACGCTGTAGGTAATACTCTGTATCATAAACCAGCCATCCAGGCTAATTGAACCCCCTATACAAACAATGAAAGCTGTGTTGCTATATGACATGTAATAGTGAAGACCATTGTGACCCGAAATGGTCTGAATGATACAGTAAGCAGGATCTTTGCCACTGGCCTTGAAGAAAACTCCCCGCAAAGACTGAGCAAACCGTTCAGTGTGGACTTGACTTGTCCTAACATTCGTTCAAATCTAGTTCTGATTGGGTGTCTTGAGGTGCAGCAGCAGTGACATCAGCAAGCAAATGGGCACCCAGTTAAGTTCCTCATGCATTTAGACCCCTTCAAATCTAATTAAAATGTTCAGATAGCAAACTAAACCAATGATTGTTTTAAGACTGAATTTAAAATAAAAAATGAATAGATTATTATGTTTTTAGATACTTAATTTTTTTTAAATAATTACAGAGAAATTTGACATTCCACAAACAAAATGTTCACTTTTCTGGGCCAGTAAAAGTTCAATATATCTCAAACGGGATTAATTATTTACACAATACTGCAGATGCAACACTTAAGAACTTACAAGCATACAAGTGTAGAATGCATCAAGATTAAATGGATTTGGAAAGTGCACGTTGAGAAGAAAATAACACATTATCAGTGATTATTAAGTTAGTACACATTTAAGGAGCCAGTTACAACTTATTTAATTCAATGTAATTTTTTTTAGAGTTTTTACAGCATGACTAACAATATAAATTGGATGTTGGAGTCATACAGTCATATACAGCGTGGAAACAGGCCCTTGGGCCCACTTATCCACACCAACCAGATTTCTTAAACTGAACTCATCCCATTTGCCTGCATTTGGTCCACATCTCTTTAAACTTTTCCTATCCTATGTATCTGTCGAAATATCTTTTAAAGATTGTAATTGTACCCACTTCTGCCACTTTGTCTGGCAGCATGTTCCATACACACACAACCCTCCGTGTGAAAAGGTCACCCTTTAGGTCCCTTTTATATCTTTTCTTATCAAATGCTGATTGCAACGGAGATTGCAGATTGTAGGAACCTCTACAATGCAGCCTATGGAAGAGCATAGATTCACTGACAGCATTTTCTGGATTTCCCTCTTATCTTGTGCATGTCTGATCTCATGAGGTTTGCTGTCAGATTCAGTGGAGTAATGATGAAGAGTGCTGACAGTTTCATTGCCATTACTACAGGGGCCAGTGCCTCTGCTGCTTAAAGTGATCTGCAGGAGCCCTGCAGCTCTTAACAGATAAGTGTCAAGCTTCATGGTAATCTGCTGCATGCTACATAGCCTCGCCGCTAGCTATATGGGTGAGGGCAGGCAGTGGAGTAGGATGACAAGGACGAGGAAGAGGAATAGAGGAAGCAACCAACATATCCTGTCCCTGCTCGGCTGCCTGTGGATCAACTCATTTAAGAAGGATGGCACTTGGCCAGCTTTCTGAGCATTTTAACTTAAGTCCAATCTCCGGTTTCCTCCCTGTAATCTTGCACTTTGTTTCTATGACCATACAACCCAAGCACCCAGAATACCGTACCTCATTCTGCCTCTGTTGCTGAGCATCACTTGGCTGCGATGGAAAGACAAAAAGTACCATGTTCCAAACCAAATGCATAAATAAAATGAGACCATTTAGCGTACAAATCAACTGATTACCCTTCCACATTTGTGGACTGCTTCCATATTCCTTGGTCATTCTGAGTGTTCCTATAGAGTGCCATGTCTGCCTGCAGCATGGCTATCTTTCAGTGGAGACCTCGTGGAGCCTGGCAATTAGAAGGTCAGCATAGGTGACAGTCCAGGGCTGACTAGCTGCTGACTGAGTGGCAGTGACGAGAGGGTGAAGGCTGTCTTGCTGGGAGAAGACAGCACGTCTGTGCTACATGTAGTCACTCAATTTCCACATAACGGTATATCAGCAGTCCCAGTAATTTGTTGGAGAATGCATTGCTGGACTGTCATGATGTGCTGCAATACCTTTAAACACTGATATTCACATCTAGGGTGGCAGCATTCTGAGCTTGCATGGTAAGCAGCTGACTTCTGCCTTGGGCCTGTGCTCAGATGGCTGCTGCTTGCTGTGCAGTGGAAGCTAAGACATTGCCCATCAGACGATATTCTGGTCGGGCCCCATGCATGTGCTGATAGAGTCAGGCACTAACTCCGTACTGGCGAGGATAAGCTCTGAGCTCTACACAAAGCCCTGTACCCAAGTGGGAGCTGGACTCCTCTGTGCCCCTTGACATGGATGACAGTCTTTCTAATCAACTTCCGAACACAGCAAGCATTTCGTTGTACATACTCATCAGCGTTCTTCTGTTGGCTTCACTACTGATCTGAATCTTCTAGAGTATAGTTAATATTAACAGGCATTCAATGACGTACTGCAGAGAAGGTTTATCAAGAAAATTGAGGTTGATTGAATTAAAGGAAAAGCAGTGGTATGAAGACAACAAGTGACAGGGCACAAAGTGCGATGAAGAGGGATGGATTTTTTGCGGCTGGGAGGAAGTTTTCAATTACTTCACCCAAGGGCCAGCTCTGGGCCCATTAATCTTTTTAATTTGTTATAAACAACCGGAGTTTTGTTATAGTCAGGTGGTAGGAAGCAGTGCTATAAAGTTTGCAGATGATATGAAACTCAGCAAATTAGTAATTAAAGGTAAGAATGGGTATTGAATTCAGGTTGACATAGAGATGATAGTCAAGTAGAAGCAGAGCAGATGGAGTTCAATGAAAGCACATGAAATGGTCTATTTTAAGGACTAAATTGGAATGACAGCATAATATAAATAGCACATTCTTGAAAAGTGTTGTTCAACAGAAGTGTCCATAAAGCCAAATCTTTAAAGGTTGCTGTACAAATTGATAAAATGACTAAACAACACATATAGGTTACTTTATGTGACAAATAGATTATAAAAACTAAAGGGATCAGACTAAGATGTTTTAAATCAGGAATAATGTGGTCATAGAATCCCTACAGTATGGAAGCAGGCCATTCAAGTTCACGCCAACTCTCCAAAGGGAGGGCATTCACCCAGACCTACCCACCTAACTTTAATCTGCATTTCCCATGGCTAACCCACCTAGCCTGCACATCCCTGGACACTTTGGACAATTTAGCATGGCCAGTCCACTCAATCTGCACAACTTTGGACCATGGGAGGAAACCGGAACACCTGGAGGAAACCCATGCAGACACTGTGAGGCGCTGTGAGGATGCAATGCTAACCACTGGGCCATCATACCAGTCGACATGGGTTACTGTACTTCAGGAAAGTTAGAGAAAGCCTGAGCAAGATTTCTGAGGAAAATTACAAGGATACTATCAGGAATCAATG